AGTGGGGAACTGGGATGGTGAACCCAGGTCCACTGATGCCACAGTTCAAGCCAGCTGCGCAGCCTCTGATCAGTCCTTTATGACAGGCCAAGAGGCAGCAGACGGTGGCCCTTCAGCATATGATGAACAGGAGAAAATGCCAGATGTTGACATGGCTAGGAGGGCAATTAGATTTATTCTTCACTTGATGTGACAACTCCTTTTTTAACCTAACACAGCACGTAGAGTGTTTATAAGAATTGTGTGTACTTTTGAGTCTATCACTTGGGACAGAATTTATATACTTATACATCTTAAAACATGTATTCAGCCACTGCTAACTCTGTTCCTCTCTCAAATAAATGATCATAGGTTAGGTGTTTCATCTGAGAATGAGATTTATAATTGTGTTTACAATGGGATACATTCAAAAATAAGTCCAGTAATATTTAGTAATCACAAGAACTGCTTGAATTGCAGATGGTAGGTTTATATAATATTACTATTTAATTTACCAGTGTCCACAAGAGAGGACAGAAGGGTATCTTCCACAGAGAGTATCACAGAACTAGCTAAAAAGCCCTGTCTCAAGTCCTTGTTTTGTAATGAGGCAGGATATAACGAAATAATATATGTCAGGAACCTGGGAACCATTTTTGACATCTCTCTCTGCCTCACCTTCCCATTCAATCAATCATCACCTTGTTCCACTTCTACATCATTAATATGGCTCCAATAACTCATTTCTCCTGTTCCAGCCCAAGCCATTATCATTCTCAACTTGACCACTGTAGCAGCCCACTTCCTGGCCTCCTTGTTTCTCCCCTCACCCCTTCCAATCCATTTTCCAGAGTAATCAGCTTCTAAAACTAAATCTGATCATGATACTGTGTTGTTTAAAAATCATCAATGGCTTCCTCTTGCCTCTGGGATAAAGTGTGAAATGCTGGGATGCCCTTTCTTGCTTTTCCTTCATTTGACTTCTCCTCATCTACCAGATTTTGGTTTCAACTTAAGTTCCTCTGGAAAATTTTCCCTCATCTCCCAGACTTGGTTAGATTCCCCCAATAGACCCTTACACAGGACTTTCACTTTGCAGGATTGACCTGAAATAAAATAAGTATATGACTATCTGTTTCATGTTTCTCTATCATGTTCCAAAAGGATATGTGCCGGTCCACCCTGTTCACCACTTTACCCTCATAGCCCAGCACAAGGTCAGGAACACAGGACGTTTTCAATACATATTCATTGACTTCATGAATGAATTCACATAAATCTAACCCCAAATCCTGCCTCCTCTGGTAGACAATGAGTACAATTTCCAACTTTAATAAGATGGAGGTAATCAGATCTATCTCACAGGGATGCTGTGAACATGAAACACAATCATGCCAATCACAGTGCCTAGCACAAAGCAAGGATCTGAGAAACAGTCATCATTACTACCAACAGGACCACCTTGACTGGAAGAGACAAGGGCACTTTGAGATCCAGGCAGGCCAAATGGCAGGACGCGGGGGCCTTCACAGAGCACAGTAACCTTGGTGCACTCACCTGGGCCTCAGACCAACCTATCTTCCAAGGTCCAGAGACTTAATCAAGCCCCTGAGAGCTGACTAGTCTCACGCAAAGACTGAGGCTCATAGACAGTGTCCATTATTCACTGACTATGGGAAAAAAAACTCTCCAATAATGTATGATTTCATTTATAGGAAATATGTACAATAGGAAAATCCATAGAGACAGAAAGTAGGTTAGTGATAGCCAGGGTCTGGGGAGGGGAAATGACGAGTGACTGCTAACGGGTATGGGATTTCTTTTCTACGTAAGGAAAATATTCTAAAATTAGATAGTGGTGATGGTTACACAACACTGTGAATATCCTAAAATCTACTGAATTGTACTCTTAAAATGGTGAATTTTATGTTATATGCATTATACTGCAATTAACAAAAACCTCTCCAGTGGACCACGTGGCCAGCTCCACCTCCCCTTTAAGCTCTGCCACGGCCAAATTCATCAATGTTTGCTCAGTGAGCATAGAATCAGAGAGGAGGGGTTATATAGACTTTGAAAGTTGAATGGGGTCAGGTTCTGATGGACTTCATGTCCCTCTCCTGTCAAGAATGGACATTTCTATCGGTCTGGACACAAGGTGTGGCAGATACTGTTAGCTGCCCACTCAATATCCATTCCTCCTCTTAGTTTAAGAAAACATAATTTCCTTGTGGGTGGCAAGGGGCCCAACCCTGGGCAGGTTATGACTAGTCTAGTCCAGTGTTCCCAAACTTTGCTGAAGATAAAAATTACCTGGAGCATTTATTTAAAAAACAAAAGAGAAAAAAATCAAGAGACATATCGTAGGCTCCCATTCCATACCCAGCAAATCACAATTTCCAGGTTATCTGTAGATTTTTAACAGCCCCCCCCCTCCACCTCCTGTGACTCTAATCAACGTCAGCAAAGTTGAAGGAATGCTGCTGTAAGCCACTGGTGGCAATCATTTCTATGCCCAGCTTTCCTAGCATTTCTTGCACCGAGGTGACCATGTGACCAGTCCTGGTCAATGAGACCTAAATAAAGTCTATTAGGGAGGTTTCTAGGAAAGCTTTTCCTTACTAATAAAGGAAGAAAGACACTCGCCCTTCTGCCTTCATCCCTCTTCCTACCTTGAATGCAGCTACGATGGATTCTATGCAGTAGCAACCCAAAAGAAAGACCAGTGGAACTTCAGGAACATCAACTCTACCATTGTGAGCAGCTGATATAATGCCAGCAACGGCCTAACTCCAACTTCATCTTAGATAAGCAAAATAATGGGTTGTTTAACCTTGTAGTCAAGTGTTTATTCCTTGCACCAAATGCATTCCTAATCATATGACAGATATTGCCAATGTTTGCCTCTGTGACACACCCCAGCCTGTCCTCCAATTACAACTGCCTTTCCCCTTCCGGGTGAGGGATCCCTTCCTCAGATATGTTAAGGCAGTGATTAGGGTTAGTCAAAACCTATACAACTGGCAGTCATCTACATTTTTAAGAGGACCATGCCCACTTCCTTTCTCTCTATATATTTGATTGATCATTTAATTCTCAGAGGACTTATTCCAAGTTCTTGGGGGGCATGTCACAGATATTCTTTGTGACACTGACATTTTATGAGATATCTCATATTTTATGAGATAGACATTTCATTTTCCTGAATAGAATTCTATCTGAAAAACTGTAACTAGGGTTGGCAAACTTTCTGTAGAGAGCCAGACAGTAAATACTTTATGCTTTGTGGCCCATGCTTTCTGTGTTGCAACTATTCAACGACTCAACTCTGCTAAAAAAACAAACAAACAAACAAAGCAGACATAGAGAACAGGTAAATGAAAGGGTGTGACTGCATTCCAATAAAATTTTATTTACAAAAACAAGCAGTGCCTGATTACACCCATGGGCTGCTGTTTGCCAACTTCTGAACTAAAAGACAATCTTCATTTTCAATAACTTGAGAAAAAAATTGAATCTACTTGTAAAAATCAAATAGGTTATCACCACATCTGGTCTCTTGCTGTGTTCCTGCCACATAGAAAAATAATGAACTGGGAAAAGGGTATAGTGGCATGCAGAGGACTCACCTTGGTCAATGCCCATTCTAGTTATAAGTCCTTAGAGAACAAGGATGCTGCTACATTTATTGAGCACCTACTGTCTACCTGGGGCTGTGGGAGGCATTTTCACATAAATGTTAATCCACCAAGGTCCAAGATCTCAACCTAAAGTCCTGATATATCTTAAGAATTACAGTCACTCTGAGGTAACCTGGATAAGGGATACAGTTGTAACATGCAAATATCCTGTGACCCAGCCATAAATTAAAGTCATTTTACCATCCAGCCTAGATTATAGGCAGAAAGAGGATAATACTGAGGGAAGTGAGATTAATGAGTGATTTATTTTAAAAGATTCCAGTTTCAGTGCTGTCTTAAATATGTATTTTTTCAGCCTAAGGCTTTTAACTCACTTTTGTTTATCTATATAGCAAAACTTACCAGAATATCTGGTTTTCATTTACTAATAATATTAATATTTGTGAAGGATTCTTTCCTCTTTTCATATGAAGGTTTTTCACTTGTGTCCAATGCATGTACAGGTTTTTTCTTTAAAATATGGCTTAATCAAAACCTGCCCTCAATTTGATGATGCGAGAATAGCCCAAAGGTTAGAGAACTGTGTTCATTTTAAAGCTGAGATACCTATTAGAACTTCAAGAAAACAGGACAGTGCTCTTGATTCCCTCATTCACCACAAAAAAGCTGTTACAACCAACTGTGTATCAGCTGGTTTACAACTATCACTGAATGACAGAGGCAAAAACCAAAGAGGCCCAGCCTCTGGCGGCTGTATTTTCAGCCTACGGCAAGTTGTATTTTCCAAAATGGTCACAGCAGTGAACTTCTAGAACTCTGCCATTCCCCAACAAAAGTCAGAGATTCCTTTCCTCCCTTTCCCTTGAACCTCTACAGGATTCCTGACTGCTTCAACAAAGAAAATACAGAAGTGATGCTGCATGACTTCCAATGCTGGATCACAAAAGGGATACTCTACCACCTGGCCCTCTCTCACTCTTCGGATACTTGCCCTTGAAAGCAGCCACCATGCTGTGAGGAAGCCCAAACTAACCTACATGGAGAGATGAAGTGGGGAAGATCTGAAGCCCCGAGCAACAGCCAGCATCGACCATAAGAAATGCGAGTGAATGAGTCCTCAATGGATTCTAACTCTACATCTTTGATCCACCCCGGCTAATACACAGTGGAGCATAGGTGAGCCCTGCCTAAAGGGCAGATTCATAAGCAAAATAAACGTCGTTATTATTTTACTTCACTATGTTTTGAGCTTAGTAACTGGAACACAGACTTAGGATTGGATGCACATATAAACGAACTTCGCCAAAAACAAGATAAACCTTATGTTTTGCTCTCCACTTTGATTCCCAAATGCAAATAGAAATTAAAAAATATACATACATCTTCCGATAGTGACATCCTGCTGCAGGGCGGTTATATACAGCTGCAGGGTCAGTTGAGGGGCTGAGCCCAGGAAAGCCTGGATCACTGATGCCCGGCTGAATGCAGATCGGTGGGTGAATAGCTTGCCCTCTGCCTGGCCCACTTCCTTCTCAATTTCCTCTGAGAGGCCATTTTTTGGCATCTGTCGCTTCTTGGTGATGCTGACATAAGGCTCTTCAATGTGGTTTGACTGACAATAGATGCAGAAGACTTCAAAACACCTGGAAACAAACCAGCAAGTCATGATAATCAGAGGCAGACAGGATTCTGTCTTTTCTCAGTTACCCTGCTTTCACTTAGCCTGATTCTCAAAGCCTTGACTTGGTTACTCTGAACCGTAGCCTCTCCTCTAAAATCATCCTCTCTAAGGACCAGTTCTGAGCATGCAGTCCTCTTGAGGCCCTCCACCAGGCCAACTGGCCTGAGTGTGAACCAAATTCAGAGGTGATACCGAAGGCCACTGAGGCAAGGAAACCAAGTAGAGAATGGAATAGGAAGTGGTTCAGGCTCCAGAGCCACAGAAAAACATTCCATTTCCCTTCCTGACACATATTAGCTGTGCAGCCCTGGACATGTCATTTAACCCAAGCCCTTTCCCTCAATTACAAAGCAGAGATAAAACCTACTTTGCTGCACTGTTATGGAGATAATACAGTATATGGGTATGTGTGTATGCATGTATATACACACACACATATATTTGTGTATATATATAGATATAGATATATGCACATATATATTTTTCACATCTAATAGATGTCCCAAATCACCTCAGTTAAAACAGCAGCTACGGGACTTCCCTGGTGGCGCAGTGGTTAAGAATCTGCCTGCCAATGCAGGGGACACAGGTTCAAGCCCTGGTCCGGGAAGATCCCACAGGCCACGGAGGAACTACACCTGTGCGCCACAACTACTGAGCCTGCGCTCTAGAGCCCTTGAGCCACAACTGCTGAGCCCACGCACCTAGAGCCCGTGCTCCACAACAAGAGATGCCACCGCTCGCTGCAACTGGAGAAAAGCCCACGGGCAGCAACGAAGACCCAACGCGGCCAAAAATAAATAAAATAAAATAAATAAATTTATATATATTTAAAAAAAACAGCAGCTATGGTTGGAAGATCCCCCAGTAGTTTCCCATCTAGAATTCCCCTGGAAGACCACATTACCATCTCTGCTCTCTTAAGCTTTTACGGGACATGACTAAAGTCAACCATGCCTGGAAGCCTGCCAGCTCTGTCTTATCTATGGAGTTTCAAGCCTGCCCTAGGGATGGAGCCTTAAGCAGTCACCTTTCTAGACTGATAGAGTACCTGGCTTTTAAAATTGGATTTCCCTCTTTAGGTAATGATATGGGTATCAAAGAGAGGAAGAGTACTGACGTACACGATTTATACACACACACTCACAAATGGATTGAGGGATTGATATAGGAATGGACAGATGTGTGAAATAAAACATTAACTGTAGAATCTAGGTGACAAGTACTTGGGTGTTCACCGTACAATTCTTTCAAGTTGTCTTCTGTATGTTTGTAAATTTTCATAAGAAAATGTTGGGGAAAAGTATTTTTTTCCTAGGAATAAGAAAAACGTTCATGGCCTTAGGTTTAAAAATTGTTAAAGGACATTTTTTTCCCCAAACGTGCATTTTTATAACAACCTTATAATGCTGCCAGAAGATTTTATGGCTTCGTTTATTTTATTGAGTATTGTTAACTTTGTTCTCTCACCTCGAGGCAACCAGGGCAACAAGAATACACGCATAATTTGAAAGAATAAAACCTGATGTAAGAAACGAAATGCAGGAACTTCTTTAGTGAATACAAACTGGATATATTTTGTGATTATTATCCTTGTTCGTTTGTTCCTGAGAGAAAAAAAGGTACGTAGTAGTATGGGGGGAAGGGGAGGGAGAGTGACAGGCAATTATCTGCTACATTTTGTCCACTGGGGTCATGGACACTTTATTACATGAAAATATGTAAAACAGTGTGGACCAGCTTGTTCAGCTGAAAACAATGAAGTTCAAGGTTTTGAGTTCAAGTCCAGCTTATCCAACTGAATTTGTTCTGAGGAAAAACTCAAATCTATGACTGAGGACTGCTTGAGGCCTAGCAACTTTACACTGTTGGACCACTGACCACAACAAGGACTAGAAGACAGAATAAACTGACCATCTTCTTTATTCTCAAATATGTGATGAATGCAGATGCACTCTGCTAAGTGCTGTGGGGAATGCAAAGATAGCTGGATACCCCGCCTCATTCAGAGGTGCTCACAATCTAAGCAAGAATATGGGACCTATACATAATAAGGATAATAAATAATTAATACAACTAATATTTATATAGCACTTTCAGTTTATAAGATATTTCTCATATATTTCCTCACTTAGAAAGGAAGCCTACTGCAAAAATTTGAATCATACCATTATTTGTAATAGCAAAATTCTGGAAATACTCTAAAGGTCCTCAAATAAAACAATGATTAAATAAATCCTAATATATGTATTCAATGAAATATTATCCAGTCCTTAAAATTGACAGTATACACATACATATACTGATATATAAAAATGTTTCCTATATTTGGTAAGCAAAAGGAGTAAATTACAATGGAATATATATAGAAAATTCCATTTTTAATAAAAAGAAAATTACATATATATACATACACACAAATCACACACACATACACACCTATACACGTAAATAGTAAAGTGCCTGAGCTGGCTCATACTGACTCATGAGACAATTAAGTAGTTCGGAATTTTTTTTTTTTTTTTTTTGGCTGCATTGGGTCTGTGTTGCTGCACACGGGCTTTCTCTAGTTGCAGCAAGCAGGGGCTACTCTTCGTTGCAGTGCACGGGCTTATCATTGTGGTGGCTTCTCTTGTTGCAGAGCATGGGCTCTAGGCACACGGGCTTTAGTAGTTGCAGCATGTGGGCTCAGTAGTTGTGGTACGCAGGCCCTAGAGCACACAAGCTCAGTAGTTGTGGCTCGCAGGTTCTAGAGCACAGGCTCAGTAGTTGTGGCACATGGGCTTACTTGCTCTGCAGCATGTGGGATCTTCCCAGATCAGGGATTGAACCCACGTCCCCTGCACTGGCAGGCAGATTCTTAACCACCATCCCACCAGGGAAGCCCAATAGTTAGGAATTTTGTGAGCCAGTTCTTAAACAACTTCATAACTTGAAATAGGCCATAATGGAAATACTTAAATCACAGAAATCAGCAAATACTACAAATCAGGGCTTCCACTCCCGCCCTGCCACCCCCAGACAGTTTACGGTTTACCAGCTTACCACTGTAAAAATATTAGTAAGGATATACAACAAAACATTAAGAATTGTTTTCTTTAGTTAGCTGGATTAGAACTTTAAAATTTTTTTAGTTGTGCTTATCTGTTTTCTGCCCTTCTGTTGTTTCAACAACAAATATATTTTACTTGAATAATAAAATCAAGCTCAGAATTTTTTTTTTTTTTTTTTGCGGTATGCGGGCCTCTCACTGTTGTGGCCTCTCCCGTTGCGTAGCAACAGGCTCCGGACGCGCAGGCTCAGCGGCCATGGCTCATGGGCCCAGCCGCTCCGCGGCATGTGGGATCTTCCCGGACCGGGGCACGAACCCGTGTCCCCTGCATCGGCAGGCGTACTCTCAACCACTGTACCACCAGGGAAGCCCAAGCTCAGAATTTTTAAAGACTAAAACAAACAAACAAGTGAAACACCAGCACATGTTAAGAGCTGAATGAATAAAATGAAGGTTCAGAGGAAAAAGCAATTCTCTGGATGCTGAGGAGGGGCTGTGTTTAATGGAAAGCATTTGCAGTCTACCAATGGAAATGAAAGAAGGTCCCAGAAGGAGCTAATCACAGAGGTGGCCCTGAAACCCAGGCGTACCCCCTTGCAATCCACTGTTCTTCCCAACTAATAAAAATCTTAGCACAGAGTTTCACATGTAGTAGGTGTTTAATAAACTTGTGAAAGGCCCTAAGACTTCTGCTATTTGCCACTACTGGTTAAGAAAGCTGATAAGAAACACACTCTACTATTCTTCTTGGAATTCTGCAAGACTCATACAATTACTCCAAACGAGTTTTGTTTTGTTTTGTTTTGTTTTACTTGAGAAGTTGTCTAAATGTAGCCATAAATTAAGTATTTTCATCAAAATCATTCAAGGTAGTTTTTCAGTATTGTGTAGACCAAGGTTTGGCAAACATTTTCTGTATTTACAAAGAGTAAATATTTTAGGCTTTGCAGGCCCTGGTCTCTATTGCAACTACTCAACTCTGCCACTGTAGTGCAAAGGCAGCCACAGACTACACAGAAATGAATGAGCGTGGCTGTGTGCCAATAAAACTTTATTTACAAAAACAGGCCATAGGGGGATTTCACCTGTGGGGCATAGTTTGCTGATTCCTAATGTAGGTAATCAGCAGGTTGATCTATTTTTTTCCCACTTTATCCCATTTTCAAGCGCCATAGTGGAAAGAGTTTATTCCTTAGCTGAAACCATGCATGTTGGTGTCAGCACAAATAATCTGTGGTACCAGAGACCCTCTAAGGTAGTTAATAAAAACACGTTTTCAAAAGAAATACTGATTATGATTTCCTATACGCCACGTTATCTTCCTATGACACACATGCTCTGAGAAGCTACACAAGAACCAAACTGGTTAAAAAGAAAGAAAAGCCACTTGCATAATCTCACTGAGCCTCAATTCTCAACTGTAAAAAAAAGATAATGACAGTTAGCTCACAAGGTTTTACAGTGGATGGAATTAAATACTGTATGTAAAAGCACTTTGCAAGCAACAAGAAAACTCTTCAAACTTAGGCCATTATTATTTTAAAGTCTTTTGAAAGTTTACTAAAGAGAGAAGTACAATGGTGAATCATCTTGCAATGTTCTATAAAAAATACTAGACTCACAGATATAGAGAACAAACTAGTGGTTGCCAGTGGGGAGAGGGAAGGGGGAGGGCCAATATAGGGGTAGGAGATTAAGGGGTACAAACTATTAGGTATAAAATAAGCTATAAGGATATATTGTACAACATGGGCAATATAGCCTATATTTTATAATAACTATAATTGGAGTATAACCTTTAAAATTGTGAATCACTATATATTGTCCACCTGTAACTTATATAATATTGTGTATCAACTATACTTGAATAAAAAAATTACTAGAACTTCTTAGCTTTTACTTTATAAAGCCAGATTTTTATGTACCATTTTTCCTCATTATACCAGTGAAGAAGAATGGGGGAAAATTCCTAGAACCTGTAACTCATTTATATTTACTCCTTCTCCCAGTTAATTTAAAAAGTTAACATAACTGTAAAAGAATGATAAACAAATTTTGCTGTTGTTAAGAGGTGCTTTTCCCCACTCTGGTTTTCCAGAGTATCTATTATCATTCACAGTAAGATTGTCCTTAAAATAGAAAAAAATAAATTCAAGACATTATTCAATGTTTGTATTGTTCCAACCTAGGCTTAATGAGGAAACAACCCTTCAAATTGCAACTACAGTTTTAAATATAAGACTGATATAAATGAAATATGGTGCTCTCCCAATGCCTCCCTGAAGAAGGAGCGGGGCCTAGTTTGCGGTCTTTAGCCCATAATTATTACAGTGTAATGTAATGCAGCTGAACTGAGTGAACTCAAAAACATCATCTCACCTAAAAAGAACATGAGTTTGGTTAGTTAGTACCCACCCCAAATTAAACAGAGCTAAATTATCCCAAAACAGTTTTAAAATATTACTAAGTTCAATCGATAAGAAGGGAAGAGAGACTCTCCTTTGTTTGGGGGAAATAATTTTGATCTTTATGTGAAGCTGATGTCTTAGAGTTAGAATAGAAGCAAACAGTCAGCAGGAAGAACTTGCAATAAGATATTAAGTCACACTAATACACAACATCAAGTTGCTTTTCTTTTCATCTGGAAGCTAAGAGGCTTGGAACCACAGTTTGCGTATCTCAGCGTGGGTCCAATATCTTCTTGAAAGAAATCAGCTGCATTAGAATGAAAGCGCCCTTGTTAACGGAAGCGGGTTGTTTATTCCTTTGTTTTTTATGTTTTATTTTGCTTTTCCCCCAAAAAGACATTGACCCGTTCAGAATTTTCTGGAAATAGGTCTCTTTATGGTGTTGAAACTTTATTTATAGTTGAGAAGTTATCTCTCCAAAGCACCAAACTTTCTTTCTTTAATAAAGTTAAAATATTTTTTCTATAAAAGCTGAAACATGTAGAAAAGTATAATAAAAGAGTAAATGATGCACTTTTCTATATTTTTCAGGAGAAAATGAAAATCACCCATAACTCCATCATCCAGAAATTACTACTCTTGCGTCTCTGGCCTTTCCACCTCTTGCAATTCTTCTACCACCTACATCTAAAGTTCAGTATTATAAATTTGTTTCTAATCCAGATAGAAACCCTTTGTTTTGCTTTTCCTACAGAGATGAAAGATATCAAAACAACACATTTAAAACTCTCTTCATGGTCTTTAGATAAGCCAAACTCTACTTCATTACCAGGGATTTCTTTTTCTACTTGCTTTGTGTTAATACAGTTTAATTTCCAGAAATGTCACTAACAGTTTTTCTCAATGCCCAGCAAGTGTTGGGGTCTTCATGACACTTGTGTTCCAACTTCACTGACTGCGTTTAGAAGTTAGGCAGGGCCTCGAAGACATTTCTACAACCCCGTGTGTTACACATCCGAGAGAAAAGAAAGATGCGTGGATTTCTAGAGTCATGTGTGTCATGTATGAGAATTACGTAAGTTAATATTTGTAAAAAGTGCAGAACAGTGCCTGGCACACTCCACGTGTTTGATCAATTTAAATTCAATCAGCTGTATACACTTCTACTCTAACGGCCATTTAGAACCCACTTCCTAAGGGCCCGTCATGACACAAACTCATCCTGCCAGATCTCACCTGATCTCAGGGAAAGCATGTCTTTTATGAGGTCGAAGTGTATAAAACTGACCTTTCTGTTCGTCAAATTCAGTTGACTATCAGCAATTTCCTACGCTCGCCCCTAACAGGAAGGCGGTACGCCCCGGCTCGATTCCCACTCTCCCAGGTTCCTGTCGCATTCCTGTGACAGCAACGGTGGAGCTCAGGAGCCGAGGGGCCGGCGTGGGCCCGGTCCGCGACGCCGGCCACCTGTCCCCTCCCCCGGGAGGCCCGACCCCGCCGCCGGGGGTCCCGCACGCACCTGAAGAGTGGCCCGAGCTGTAGCAGGTGCAGCAGCAGCACGAGCGGCCGGTCACGGCTGAAGTCGCGGTGCACGAAGAGGAGCGTGAGCTGCACAAGGGCGCAGGGCAGCAGTGAGAAGAGCAGCGTCAGCGCCTGCCACATGCCGTCCCCGCCCGAGCGGTAGGTGCTGCTCAGGTACAGCGCCGCCGTCGTCTCGGCCACGAACAGGAACACGGACGCCAGCACCGAGCCCGGGAATTTCATCTCCGCGCGTCAGCGGCGCGCACCGGCGACAGACGCGGTGGCGGTAGCGGTAGCGGTGGCGGCGGCGGCTGTCCCGGGGGCTCCCGGCATGCCCGGCCCCAACTGCTCCCGCGCTACGCGTTGCCCGCCAAGGGCGCGAGACCCGGGCCCTGGAGCTGGGCCTGGGGTCAAGCAAACCCGCGGGGCTGGGGCGGGGCGCGCGGCCGGGTCGGGACACGCCCACGCGCACCGTGCGCCGCCCGCGCGCCTCAGTGCCTGCCGCGTCTCTGCGGTGACGAACCGTAGGCAGGCCGCGAACCTGCGCCCAGCTATAGCCCGCGCCGAGCCCCACAGGAGGCGGCGGGTCCCGCCGGCCCCGCGCGCAGCCGCTGGGTCCTAGAGCCCTTTGGTCGGCGCTCGCGTGGGAAACCGTCACATCCCTTCGAAAACCCGCAGCCCATGGGGCCCGGAATCGGGGTCAGGATGCCTTTCCAGCCCAGTCTCTATTTTCTGGACCTAAATAACGCCTAATTCCTCAAAGAACCAGCGTTTCCGGTCACTTAAAAATAAGCAGACCACACAGATGCTTTTCAAAGTACAAGCACCCAGGATGTACCTTTTCACTGGGCCAAGTCTGAAGCATTGCTTCCAAGGTGAAAGAGCATCAGTGATAATCCCTAAGAGCCAACGCTCTCTTTCCCAGAAAAACTGCCTTCAAAATATATTCCTCGGGGCTTCCCTGGTGGCGCAGTGTTTGAGAGTGCCGTGGGCCATGGCCGCTGAGCCTGCGCGTCCGGAGCCTGTGCTCCGCAACGGGAGAGGCCACAGCAGTGAGAGGCCCACATACCGCAAAAAAAAAAAAAAAAAAAAAAAAAAAAAAAAA